GTATAGATTAATGGAAATGGATTAATTTAAGCTGTAAGAACAGTTAGCAAGAAGCCTGGCATGGCCATACAGTTTGTAACCAATATAAGTCTCTGTGTTTACTTGGTTGTGTCTGAGCGGCTGTGGGACTGGCAGGTGAGAAAGAATTGTCCTGACTGTGGGCCAGGCAGGAAAACTCTAGGTACAAACATAAAGTTCTTCACTTGTCTTCTCAGGTACTGTCACCACAAAAGAACTGGAATAGACCTAACAAAGGGTTGTGCTGAGGACATATGAAACACATAATAGAGAAATAAGTTTCTCTTGCAATTTTGAAGCCTTGGTTTTAGTATGGGAAGTCTGATACCCTTCTGACCCTCATTTGTTTTGCTACCTGTGATCTTTTAGGATTTTTTTTAACCCTCAGGCCCTGGTAGAAATCTCCCTTTCAAGATATCTTTGACTTTATATGTATAAAAATGAAGAGAGTATGTGTGCACTTTGGTAAATCACGATACTATCATTTCAATGGCAAGTAAAGGAAGAAGAAATATCACTATTTAGCTGTCATAATAAACAAACTATTACTTTCATTCTTGTTTTGGCCAACTTGCCTGATTTGTATCAAGACTTCCCATGTTGTTAACCATCTCAGGTTCACTGATATTCAGTGATAACAGGCTAGAGCTGGGTTATTTAGGAAAGGCTTGGTTATAAAACATAGTATTTAAATAAGATTTAAAAGAGAATGTCCCAAGAGAGTAAATTTTCATGTTATAAAAGTCTAAATCTTCTTAAGAACTCCTGATGAGCAAGTGACATGGAACATTAACCTATAGGTAACATTGATCCTTTAAAGTGAAGTAAACAAATATAGAAATATGAAGATACAGCTTTCCTAAACAAATTATATATTTGACTATATGATATCAGGTAATTTTATAATAGAATAAAACCCAAATTCTGGGCCTAAGAAAGAAAATAAAATAATCATTATATTTGCAATGGTTAGCAATACCAGAAAATATTAGGTATAATAAATCTGCATAAAAATGTTAGAATTATTCAAACTAAGTAGGGATACTGTTTAATCACAGGATAGCAACTCCTATTTACAGTAACTATAAAGGTTCCACACTCACTGTTTGTCACACTCAGCATCATCACAACCTTGCAAAGTGCCCAGAATGGGTAGCACGCCCACCTGGACTGCTAACAAGGAGGTAAGGGTGACTAGCCTTTCCAACGGAGGAACACTGCACACCTAACACCTGTGAATGTGCATTTTCCTTCAATAGATCCAAGAATGGAATAAAGACATGGGAGGACTTGCAGGAACATGTGCACGTCCAGTGATAGAAATTTAAATCTTCTTGAAACAAACAGGAAATGTAAAGACTAATTTATTATCTACAATATTCTTATGAACACGATTATTCTTTACCTGGAATAGGCAACAGGCAATTTCCTGGATTATTACAAGTCCTATGGAGTCTATAGCATGAAGAAGACAAAGACTGAACATCTACTAAATATTTTTCTTTACTTCTAACCTTTAAAAATGAGATTCCCTTTGTACTTTTCTGGCTCATATTTTATAACAAAACAAACATCAAATGTAAATCTAGACCTCAATGCCTTGCTCTAAACACATATAAGCCTTGGAAAGTGAGTATTACAGAGTGTCTAAAGGAGGTGGACTCCCTCAGGCTTTAGAAAGTTGAAAAGGTATGGAAAAACTAGAAAACAGTACATGTCCACTGCAAAAAATGACAGTGTAAACACTTAAAATTTATCCCATTTCTGGCTCAATGGATAAGGGCACTTGCCACCAAGGCTGATGACCTGAGTTTGATCCCCAGGACCCATATGGTGAAGGAGAAAATCAAGTCCTGAAAACCATCCTCTTGACTACCACACAAGCGTTGTGGCACATATGCATCCACCTCACCTACCCACTCACATAAAAATACACACCATTAAATAAACAAATGTAATAAAGTTTATCCCATTTCTGTTCTTATCTAACTTCTTTCATAATGTTAGTAGAATCAGAATATCAGAGACAAACACAGCCTAAAGGTCACTGGTCTAAATCCTTTCATTTTAGTCATCAGAAACTTGATGTTCAAAATACTTTAGAAAGCTTATGTAGCTGGTTGAAAAGGAAGTCACATCTTTCAACTTTCAACATATTTTCTATGTGCATTGGTCAAGGAGGCAAACTCAAGCTATAGCCACATTTCAATGCTGTTTTAATCTTTCCAGTAGCAAAAACTATCACAGAGTTATTAAAAAGTCATTTTTGTGTGTCCTGACTCAAGTTCTGAAAAACTATTTATGAAACTAAATACTATGTGTGTATTATGTTAATATCTATGAAATAAACTGTAAACTTTAAGCACATTTTAAAAGTAATTTGTAAGTTCAGGTGCTGGATTAAAACTTCTTTGGTGAAAGGTTAATATTCTTACAATAATAACAATAAACAATTACTAAAAAGCTATCAGAATGAATGACTAAATATGCAAGTAATCTTTTTCCCCCACAAATGTACGTCATAAACATGTCTTACAGAATCAAAGACCTCTCTCAAGTAAATTACAATAACAAGAATTCTCCATTTAGCTTATATTAAAAGTAAGCAAAGAGAACATTAGTACTATGGCACATACAGAAAATACATGAGTTCTATCGATACTATATTTTTACATTCAGTATAACAGTGTTATAAGTTGGCCTAAAAACTTAAATGTGACCAGTTCTAAAATTCTGAAAGGTGGGAAGGGGAAAGCAAGGCTAAAGAGCAATGAGATGCAGCTACTAAATATGACAGGCACACTGGTACCTTCTAAGAGCAGAAGATAGACACCTTTCCATAGATGTACATTGTATGTTTTAGAAGCTACTTACCTAGCACTTTCTTGTAAGTAGCGCTTAGGAACTTACTGTACTGCCTGGCTAAAAATATTATAGAATCCATGACTACAGAGTAAATACACGCAATGAAGGAGACATTTAGTTTGAGCAGAGATAAAACTGTACTATTGTTTATGGCAAAGAATACAATTAATATAGAACTGGGAACAGATGAAGTCATCAAAGTAATATGAACACACAGTTTTTGATGCCAGTCTTTCTCTTCTAATTTAACTCAGTTATTATTATATAAGAGCCTGTTCTCCATAGAAAACTACTACTTATCCATACTAGATAGTAAAAAATTTTAAAAACTGGATTAATAATAGCAGAATATTTCATGTTTATAAAAATGTATACCCCTAAAATATTGTCTGCATGGTCCTCCTTTGTTTCTTCTTATAAAGCACTCTGATTTAAAAAGGCATTTACATAGTGAAATACAACTCAACTGTAAAGAAAAATGAAATTATTAAATATGCAGGCCACTGGTGGAGTCCTATGCTCCAGTGATGGCCCCACATCCATATGCACATGTGAGCAGCGCTAACTGGAATTAGTGGGTCATTTAAAAGAAGACATGCAATTGGGATGGGGATATGTTGAGGGAGACATGGGAGGAAATTGGGGAAATATGATCATATTTTATTGTATAAATGTATGGAATTCTCAAGAACAAAAAATGTTTTAAAAGGCATTTCCCCAAAATTTGCTGTGGGATGGTCTGTATGTCAAATGTGTTGCTGATTGGTTAATAAATAAATCACTGATTGGCCAGTGGCCAGGCAGGAAGTATAGGCGGGACAAGGAGGAGAATAAAGCTGGGAAGTGGAAGGCTGAGTCAGAGACACTGCCAGCCGCCACAATGACAAACGGCATGTGAAGATGTCGGTAAGCCACGAGCCACGGGGGCAAGATATAGAGTTATAGAAATGGATTAATTTAAGCTGTAAGAACAGTTAGCAAGAAGCCTGCCATGGCCATACAGTTTGTAACCAATATAAGTCTCTGTGTTTACTTGGTTGTATCTGAGCGGCTGTGGGACTGGCAGGTGAGAGAGATTTGTCCTGACTGTGGGCCAGGCAGGAAAACTCGAGCTACAAAAATTGCTTATTCTAAAATTTTTAAGTGATGTGTTAATTCTGTCAATAAAACTGAAATATTAAACCTACCATCATCTTTTCCTTATAAAGATCCTGCAAGGATCTGGTTGAAGTAGCTTGGCTGCACGGTGAATGGAAGCTGGCAGGTTCAGATATTGCCTGGTATGATGCAATGGGCCGGAGCCCAGGCTTCTGGCTCACATGGTCAAAGCTTAGAAACAACCGTGAAACATCAGACCTCTAATTTAAAATTTAAATCTATTCTAAAGTCTGCATATTTACATTATAAAATGTTTCTTTTCCAATATAACACAGAAAGGAATAAATATAAGTCATAATTTACACTTACCCAAGTCACAGATTTTCTCATACTGAAATAACTATGTGACATAATGCATCTCCCTGGTTTAAATAAACAATGCAGTCATTACTCTCCTGTAATCTGCAATGCCTTGTGGGAATTTTGTTAAAATATATATATAGAAATATACAGTGTATGAATATAATCTGCAAAAAAATTAAAAAGCTTGAGGTCATAATTTTTCACTGAAAAATACTTCAGTCTTTTCTCAAAAAGGATGAAAAGTATAACAAGGACTTTTTTTTTACTTTTAAATTAATTTTATGGTAGTTCTAGAAAAATAATTCTGTCTTGGGCAGCAGTATACACTCTTTTTAAGATGGGCTAGACAGCTCCTCCTGTGCATCTAGTTTAACCTGGAAGGAAAAAGGTAACTTCTGTAGTGAGTCTGGACAATGCACAATCAACCATTTAATGCAGTCAACAGGAATGAATGCAAAGACCTGCATGAGAGCATAGAAGGAGAAAATGAAGCACATGGAGTAAATTGACACAAAACAGAAGGGCTCAGATAGATGTGTCTGTTTGCTACGGAAATGACACAGTATGGAAGAAGTGGGGTTGGTTATAGACTTCTGTGGCATGTGCTACATGCCATAAACAGAAACTGTATCCGGGTCATTTGATGAGATACTCACAGAAGGATTGTAAGAAGGTTCCAGTATCACCGGTAATGACATTTTCCCTTGAAGATTCAATTTTGTTAAATAAAAAATCTTTTCCCCCACAATCTTTTCTTTCTTCATACGATGGACACCATACAGTCTAAACCTAACTGCATAGTTTCCGATCATCTCCGATTCAACGTGGTTAAATTTGAATGTTTCTGTGAAGACAGGGCATGGTCCTCTCTGGATGCTGGTTTTGGCTCTCTGTTTCTTTATAGGTAGAAGAACAAGATGTACCTGCCACGAGTTGCCACCTGTCCTGTTATATGTTGGAATGTCTGTGACAGCTGTCACCGTTACCAGAAGCTTCTGTCTTTGTGAGTCATAGTCAAAAGTCACATCCAGTGTGCCATATTTAGCTTCTGGCTCTGGATCAAAAGGTTTAGGAAGCTGTGAGGAGGATCCTTGAGCTGACATGTCCTAAGAAAAGCAAATTTAAATGTTTTTAGTTTTTAACCCTATTACTTAATCTAGCATGTAAATAAATGCCCATTTCTTTTAGAGTATGATATAAAAACAATTTTCATTTGTTGTCATAGAGAAAGCATAAGTATCAGTCAACTAAAGGCCAAAGTTACCTTACTGGGCAGCATAATTTAAGTGGTAAAATACTTCACAATGAAGACATCTTTTGAGTGGAATATTCACTATTACAGTTTTGAAAAAATTGGATGTATATTTGTACAAACTAGAGTTTAATGTGCATATTAATGTCTTTGCTCCTGATGGAGGAGTTTTTAGAGAAGAGCGAAGTTTAATGCTACAGAAAAATGTGGCTTCATTTTCAAGGATGTCTAAGATGATTCCATCTAAAATAGAATATATACAGTAAAACTTATGTCAGTAGAAACAGGAAACCTGAATAGAAATGCAAAGGGCTTAAGACATTGTGCATCCAAATAGTCACTCTCCATAGTATAGACCATGTTTATCTCAATTTTCAACCAGAATTCAAAACAACTGTATTTTTCTCCACATTAATTGCCAATGACATGGCTAAATACACATTTCAAAAACTGAAGAAAGGCTTAAAACTACACATGTTACTTATGACATGGTCAGAAACTGAGACTATTTTAACAGCAACTGTCTCAAATTCCTGCTAGTCTGAATTCCTGAGATGTCTGAGGATCTTATCTAGTTACTGACAATGCCTAAACCAGGTTTCTGACCTTGGAGCTACACACTTTGACCATTCAAGTACTGAATAAGATATAAGTGACTTTGGATTCAGAGCTACTGTGGCACTGAACAATGCTGACCGTGGTCTTCCTTCTCCTACTAGCTCAAAGGACACCCCACCCAGAAGCACACTGCACCCCAGAGGCTCTCTTGGATGTGCTTATGGTACAGCGTGGGCAGATGGAGGCACACAGAGCTCCTATGAGAAACATCTATCTCAACCTTGAAATGGAAGTGCTTGCTTTCCATTCTCTCTCCACAAGCAGCCACACAGGTACTATGTGGAATCAGTTTGAACCAAAAGAACAACAGGGCTTTAGGGATGGTAGATTCACATAAGCAGCTGGCCCTGAATGAGGCCATTATGTAAAGTCTTGCTTATCTGATTGAGTGAAAGAGAAAGAAGCTTCTGAGTTTTTCAGTCAACTTAGCACTATGTTCCAAGCCCTCTGTTAGCTTGGGGTAGAAGGCTCTTCTTTAAGCAGAAAACAAGACAGGAGCCTCTGATACTGTAAGTCTTACACAATCTTTAGTATCACTTGTGGAAAACAGGACAAACTTTTACCGAAGATGTTTTTTAAATTCCTGTGTTTGGTATATGTTGTATGTGTTTGTGTATGCTGTATGTGTTTGTGTATGCTGCATGTGTTTGATAACTGCTGTATGTGTTTGGTGTATGCTATATAAATTTTCTGTATGCTAAACATGTTTGTCTTAATGCCGGGCGTGATGGCACATGCCTTTAATCCCAGCACTCGGGAGGCAGAGGCAGGCGGATCTCTGTGAGTTCGAGGCCAGCCTGGTCTCCAAAGCGAGTTCCAGGAAAGGCGCAAAGCTATACAGAGAAACCCTGTCTCGAAAAAACAAAACAAAACAAAACAAAACAAACAAAAACAAAAACAAAAAAAACCCAAAAACAAAAACATGTTTGTCTTAGGTTACATATGTCTGGTGTATGCACGTGCATGCCGGGATGACCTCCAGTACACACAAATACAGAGAGAGGCCAGAGGAGGATGTTAGATAGAGGCCTGCTCTACCATTCTCCACTTTATCACTTTGAGACAGGGTCCTCCACCAAGCCTAGAGCTTGTCACTTTTTGATTAGGCTGGCTGGCCAGCAAGCCTCAGCAAGCTTCCTTTTTCTGTCCTCAGCAATGTGGTTGCAGGCACATGTAGCCATATATAGCTTTAAGTGGGTGCTAGAAATACAAACCCATTTCATAATTGTTAATTATAGATTACCAATGTATCTTTTGTATTTCAATTTAATGTTTTAAAAATAGTATCATGGTAACAAGGGTTTTTAGAAAAATAAAAACTGTATATTGTCCTAAACAGCTATTTCTAGTTTTTTTTTTTTCTGGCACAGTCTAACAATTCTTAGAAACATAGGTAGAACCTTTACATACTATAGCTACTATTTACATTCTTCAAAGAGGCACTGAGAAAACAATCCTTCCCTTTCAGGGTGTTGGGGCTCCATCAGTTGCAGGAACCCTTCAATAGAGCTAGCTGATGAACCTGTTATATGAATCCTCTGATGCATGATAGATATTACAAGGATATGAAACAAACTTGGAAAAATACAAGTTTTATAGTAGCCTAGGCTATCAAAATTTCCACAACTAAACATTCATGTAATGTATACCTGATGTACTATATGAATGCAATATAAGAGACACAAGAGTGGGAAAAAACTGTATAGTGTTAACACAGCATGTACATAGCTTCTGAAATACACACAGTTGTGGTTACCTACAGATAAGCAAGCAGCTTGAGAGATACAGGCATAAGTCCTAAGGTAGCAACCTATAAGATATGCCAAAGATCCATGGCCTACAAAGACTATGTGATAGAGTAAATGAGTACTAGGCTCACAGAGATGGAAAGCCCATGCTCTGCCATGTATCATCTATAGGTTCTACTTAGGAAATACAGGGGAAAATCCCAACCATTTCTTTGGTAGCAAGTTTCTCTGATTGGCAAGTTCCAGTGGTGGACAGGTATATTTTCCCCTTTATCTCTCCCACAAACAAAAGTTTACTGCCAGCTGTGGGTACCCCTTTTCAAATCTCAATGCTGGTCCTGGCTTTCAGGTGATAAATAGAACTGCTGATGAGCAGACAGTGAGAAAGATGCATAAGCCCATACAAATCAGTGTGGGCTTGCCACCTAACCTATCTGTTCTGACATCCTATGCCAAGTTGTGTTAACCTACCTTATCTTAATTTGCTTAACTTCTGTTTTGTATCTGAAGTAGATGAAAATATACACACACACACTTAGGCATCTGGTTGTCATTTGAACATTTTACTTTAGTGATTAAGGCTTCTGGGACAGTTTGCCTTGTAGTATGTCCAGATGGCACTACTGCAACAAAGAAATCCTCAAACAACAACTCAGGTCAACAAGAATGGACAGAGTAATGTGGCTGTTACTAACTCCTTTTCTGCACTCACAGGGACCTAGGTTGGAACAGAGCTACCTGCTTCTCTCTGAAACTAGCTTTCTTTTTTAACTTCCTGAAGAAGTAACTGTGAACAATGAATATGATGACTAGGTGTCAGATACTACTGTGGTCACTGTTATAATCCACAGTCATTGTTAAGTCAGTGTCTACCTACATGGTTTTCAAACACACAAGTTCTCAAATGTGTCTAGGTGATAGCACACAAGAAAACTGGTGGCATCATGACACATTAGGCTTAAAGTATCAATTCAACATTTTACTCTAGGTTAGATACTATACGACAATACTAAAACTACTAGAAAAGTAGTTATAGTGTTTTTAAAATTATAGGAGAAAACCCCAAACTGAGAAATTCTGTCCACAGCTTAATCACACTGTGTATTAGAAAACTACCTTCATTATTTAGACAGCAGATACAAAGCTATCAGCACAGACCATGTCAGAGTGATAGCATTGGTGGGAGGAGGGAGGGGGAAGCTGTAGAAGCTTGCAATGTAAAACTTGTAAAGAAAGCAAATCCTACAGATAGTTGCTGCATGTGAGGCTTGGGTTACCTTAGTCTTCATCCTAAGAATGAATGAGACAAATTCTGGTATTACAAAAAGGCTTTGAAACTACAATTATTTTGTTGCCATTTTCACATCAGAAAAGTAACAAACAAAAGCAGCTAGCCACACTAAATTTAGGAAACTATGAAATTTCACCAGTAAAGCTAACCAGCATTTGTTCCTTTCATACACTATGAAATGAAAACACAGTAAGATTTGAAAGGCTTGTGAAACACTGAATAAAATATATTTTTTAAATTTTTATACACGTTTTTTTAATCTGCATGTGTAATAGTTTGAAAGTAGAAAAATGAGCAGATTTGCTAACTATGAATAATACAGGCATGTCCATTATTATAGGTTACACCAAACTCATCAACAAATGATCGTGACAAATAAAATTCCCATCAGTCAATGACCTCACAGGAACATGAAATGAGTTAAGTTGCCCAATTTTCTGCATGCAAAACTGCACAATTTGTGTTTTTGTTTTCATTTTCCTGTTTTATAATGAGCATAATATTTTCTCATTAGTTTTAGGAGTTATTTTGTGCTGCATCTTCAGTGAATTGTATGAAATTGTTGTCGTTTGGTCATTATTCATTATGCGCTCCGAAAATATTCCAAGCTCTGCTTAGTCTGTCGACATGGTACATGTTATATGTAGCTAATAAACACAAATTCCATCTGAGACTGATTGGGAATCGAGTTAGGCAGAATCATATTGTTAGCCTTGAAGAACAAGGTGTTTGTATTTGGAGGGAAATATACTCTTCCCTTTGAAATAACTTGTAACTCCAACAATTTAATTATGATTTATGTTTTATATTAATGTTTTACATGAAAAAGTTGTGCTTAATACTCCAAATTCAGGAAAGAATGATGTAGGTGAAGGACTAACAATCTTAACAAATAAAATAACAAAAATAACAAAGAAGTTAGATAATAAAAAAATCCAAAATAAAATGATAATAAAAAGCATGAAACATGAGCAAAAAGGTGAATCATTCCAGAAGGTTCTATATACAGTATTTAAGAAACAACAACCATCCTTAGCTCCCATCTCTTTGTTGTGGGAAGGGTGTGGGATATAGGCTGCAGCAGCCTCAGTGAGTTTGTTTCAGTAGGAGAAGCTACAGGGGCTGAGACACCATAGACCATTGTCATCAAGAGGCAAGTAACCCCCAGAGAACTGTTACTGGCAACCGCAGGCTGCTTCTGCTTACTTCAGGGCTGAGGACTGCGGTGCTGTCACTAGGGACATCATCTTCATATCCTTTATTGTGAAAACTCTCTGCCTCGTGTCCTGTGCTTCCTTCACTGGGGCACTTGTTGAAAGAACACCGTGGGCTGTTGCTGCAGTGGGAAATTTCACACTTCCCATCCCCGATTTCAGAGGGTGTGCATGAGAGGTGAGGAGAACCACTATCGTCTTGGTAAGGTGGTGGCTGCAGCTCATCCAATGGAGGTGTCCTTCTCATTCTCTGAATGCAGTTTCCTGACAAGGAGAAGAGTGTGGTCACTGTTTCCAATCAGCATCAGTCCAAAGTCACTGCAAATAACTTTAAAAAGTAAAATAAAAGCTCAACAGCATAACTGTTAAAATTCCTAAATGAGTTTTCTCTTTCCTTAGTCTAGGCACAGAAATAAAATCACCAGCTCCCCACTCTCCTCTGACCCAGTAAGATCAGGAAAAATAAAAGCCATTGATCATTATGAAACATACAAACACATCTGATTCAAACTGTTTACTGGATCCTCTCTCCCCAAACATTTCCAGTGCCATGTATAAGTTATCAATTCCCTTGTAACCTCTCAAAAGGGCATGAAAGCATGGTGGATAAAACATAAGAATGCGAGACAGGCGGTGGTGGCACATGCCTTTAATCCAGCACTTGGGCAGAGCCAGGCGGATCTCTGTGAGTTCGAGGCTAGCCTGGGCTACAGAGTGAGTTCCAGGAAAAGTGCAAAGCTACACAGAGAAACCTTGTGTCGAAAAACCAAAAAAACAAACAAAACAAAACAAAACAAAAAAACCAAAAACACAAAATCAAAACAACAAAAACAAAAACAAAAAACATAAGAATGCTGTTACTTTCTCACTTATGGGGATAAATCCTAATCAGCATTCAACTTGGCATTTTTCTACATCTAATTGGTTTTAGAACCTAAATGAGCCATGTTCAGTTCCTGCTTGTTGTCTCTAAGTCTACCTGAATGCCCAGCTCCTCCCAGCCCACAGGAAGATTTCCCCCCTCTTTTAAATTATCTTTTAAATCTTTTGCTTCAGTAATCTGTCTCACTCTTCAACTGAGAGTAAACATATCTATGAATGGTTGGGATGAAGAAGGGATAAGGGAATCACATATAATACAAAATTTTTAAATAATCGAATAAACTTTGTTTTAAAAATATGGCCATTTTCCATTTTCTAAGAAATTAAATCCTTTTAATTCTTACCTATCATCTACATAATGCCTATTGAACACTCCACAATATATTAAGTCTAGATGTTATGGTTCATGCATACACTGTCATCATACACATAAATGAGGGAGAACTATGAAACTGTATAGGACTATAGATATACTGGCTCGGCTTACAATTTAAGCAGACAAGACTATAGACAGATCCAGAATTCAGTGTTGAATATTAAACAATGCTCTTACAAAAGAGACTCTGAAAAAGGTAGTTTAAAATAAAATTGCTATGGAGGTCAGTTCAAATACTCAATACAGCATTTCCTTGAAATTTTCATAAAAATTAAAGCCCTCATTTAAAAATATCAAATCTGTCATTCAAATGAAAAAATTAATGCCTTAATTTTGAATTTACATAGCTGATCAAAGGCCTTAATTTTAAATAAAGTGTCTTACCTATGAGTCTAGTACAAACTTTCAAAAGTCATCAAAACAATGCAGTTGAAGTTAAGCTAGAGAGGATGTATTAATAATAGCCATGTGGCAGCCAAGAAACTAAGACAATTTGCATGGCACAGTCCACACAGGGGAGCCCTGACCCCCCAGCAGTGCCCCAGCTACCCCTGCCAACAGGTTCAAGTGGAAGGTTTCAGCCTGGATGCCAGAAACGCTTTGGTTTTCCTGATAAAAGCAAGGACACTGAATTGGCATCTCTTTCTTCCTTCCTTCTGCTTGAGGTTCAGTAGCCACCTTGGGTCTGAGAAGTGAGAAGCATGAGAATAAAATCTGAGGATGGAGAAGCAAAAGCAAAAACAAAAACAAACAAACAACAGCAGCAAAAAAAACCTGAAAACCAAACAATAATAAAAAAAAAAACACCAAGAGAGTCTGAGTATCAGAAATATTACTACCAACTTTGATGACCAAGGAAGACAAATTAAAACACCAAAGTAAACATGATAGCTTCATTTTCTGCATATAGCTGCAAATGCAGCCTCAACTGACATAGTTTAACTCATTAAACAACTTTCCTCTCTCCTCTTTCTTGTACTTCATCTGCCAATGAGTTAAATTAGATAGTAACTATATACCCACTGGCACATAGTGGATCAAGAATTCCCCAGGTTTAAGTGCATATTCTAGGATGTGCGGGAACTTCAAGAAAATAAAATAAAAACTGAAAAAAGATGGGATAAAATAATAAAAACCAGAAAAAATAAATTTAAAAATATGTATAGATCAGAAAGCTTTAGCAAATGAAAATATGATTCACTAAAAACAGAAATAAAATTGATAAATTGTTAGAACAGACTAGTTAGAAAAACTGGCAATGTAAGCTATTAATGTCAGGAATGAAAGAGTCCAGGATTTCCATTCCTACAGGCAATCACATGAGCAGGACAAAGTGTATACTGCACTGACAGATGGCCAGATGCTAGAAGACTATAGGGAGAGTGTCCAGGAAAATGGTGCACACAGGCAGTTTAGCTGAGAAAGAGCCCTGACCATGGTGCTGAAGCGCAGAAGGAAGCTAGCGTCTGTAGGATGGGTGGTGAGCATCCACTGGAGTCCATGTTGGGGGCCACCTGTAAGTAGGAAGTAAAACAAACAGATGCATGAAGCCAGAGGAGAAAGCCTGTGTACAGCCTGATGATCAAAGAGAAAAACTCCCAGGTTAATGTCTCTTACTGTAAGATAAAGGAGTTAGAATATGGAAAGGGAAAAGACTAGAGACAACTCTTATGAGTTGGATAAGAATTAAAGAGAAAATGCATAGATATTGTGCTGGCTAGTTTTATGTTAACTTGACATAAGTTAGAGTCATTTGAGAGAAGGAAGCTTCAATTGAGAAAAATACCCCAATTAGACTGGTCTGTGGGCAAGCCAGTTGTGTATTTTCTTGATTAATTTCTGATGTGGGAGGGCCCAGTTCATAGTAAACATGTGTGTAGCTGAGGTTTTCCTGTTCCTGCCCCGCTCCCATGACCTGCGGTCCTGCTCAGACCCAAATAAACACACAGAGGCTTATATTAATTAAAACTGCTGTAGCTGAAAGTTTTCTCCAGTCCTTCCCAGCCTCACAGACCCTGCAGGTGCTGTGGGATGTTCTGTATGCTGTGAATGTGTTGCTCTGATTGGTTGATAAATAAAACGCTGATTGGCCAGTAGCCAGGCAGGAAGTATAGGTGGGATAAGCAGAGAGAATTCTGGGAAGAGGAAGGTTGAGTCAGGAGAGCCGCCAGCGAGCCGCCAAAGGAGCAACATGTAATAGGACACAGGTAAAGCCATGGAACATGTAACAGCATATAGATTAACAGAAACGGGCTGAGTTTAAGTGTAAGAGCTAGTCAGTAGTTAGTCTAAGCTAATGGTCAAGCAGTTTTAATTAATTTAAGCTTCTGAGTGATTATTTTATAAGTGGGCTGTGGGACTGTAGGGGCTTGGTGGGACCTGAAGAGAAACTTTCCAGCTACACATGTGCTGGTGGTCCTGGGTGCTATAAGAAAGCAGGCTGAGCAAGCCAGGTGATAGAACTCCTCCATGGCCTCTGCATCAGTTCCTGTGTCCAGGTTCCTGCCTGGCTTGAGTTCCTGTTCTGACTTCCCTGGATGATGGACTACATCACTCAGTTGTAAGATGGAATAAACCCTTTCCTCCCCAAGCTGCTTTTGGACATGGTATTTGGTTTTTTTTGTTTTGTTTTGTTTTAAAGATTTATTTATAGGGGTTGGGGATTTAGCTCAGTGGTAGAGTGCTTGCCCAGCAAGCACAAGGCCCTGGGTTCGGTCCTCAGCTCCGGGTGGGGTGGGGAGGGAATTTATTTATTTATTTATTTATTTATTTATTTATTATGTATACAGTGTTCTGCCTGCATGTATGCCTGCGGGAGAGAAGAGGGCACCAGATCTCATTACGGATGGTTGTAAGCCACCATGTGGTTGCTGGGAATTGAACTCAAGACTTTTGGAAGAGCAGCCAGTGTTCTTAAGCGCTGAACCATCTCTCCATCCCTGGACATGGTATTTTAACACAGCACTAGAAACCCTAATTAAGACATGTACTCAGTTAACACAGTATAGATGTATGTATGTGTACATGCTTATATACACAGCCATGCAATAAACATTTTAAAGTTTTCCCTTGAGATTTGAAGAGTGTCAGTGAACCCAGTACCCAGATCTTGGCTTTTACCTCCTAGCTCAGGAATGACACAAAGGTACCTGTTATCACTATTTCTATTCAACAATGCACTGGAGGTCCTTCCTAACCAATGCAATAAGGCAGGTAGAAAACAATTGGAAAGAAATAAAACTGCCATTACTTTCAGGTAACTATCATGACATAAAGCAAAAAAACAAGAGAAAGACAGAGGAAGAGAGGATTTATTATATTAAGTCAATTTAACAGGGTCTCAGCATAAGAAATCAGTAAGTGAGAAAGCAATTGGATTTCTACACACATGCAAAGGACAATTGGAAAGTAAAAATTTAAAGCAATCCCATATTTAATAGCACCAGAAAACATCAAATGTCTAAAACACAGAAATTGCATTGCTGTTATTCTTCCAATCATTGAGTACATAATTAGAATGTGTTCTTTCAATAACTGGTGGACTCCAAGCTTCAAATCTCTCAGCAGAGGCTAAACTGATTTAGGAGGGGTTAGTTACAAACAAGCAAAGCTTCATTTCTTCAGCAAGGCATTCCAAAAGAGAACAGAGACTTGAAACATGTTTAGTAAATGCTTTCACTAGTTTTGCTACTGCAAAAACTAATAGATTTGAAAATGGCAAAAAATTAAAATAAAAAAGGAAAGAAGAGCCATGGCAGATTATCATAAACTTAATTAGAAGATGATTTCAACTGCAGTTGCCACTCCAGATGGAAGCTCCTTCTTGAGAAAATTAAGACAGCCCTGGCATTTGATATGCTGCACTAGCTAGCAAGTGCTTTTCTTTCACAACAACACAGAGATAACAAAAATTAACAGGTTGTTCCACTTGGCAAGACCAGCAACACCTCTACTGTCCCATTTCAGTTAGAATATTCTTCCTTCATGCATCCTCCACTCCACAGAG